TGTATGATCTGGTTGAACTGTAAAGTGCCTTGAGATGACATGTGTTGTGAATTTGGCGCTATAGAAATAAACTGAATTGCCAGACAGGACGCTGTCATCCCAACCTTTATTTCCAGAGATGATGTCACTTTTGGTCTAATATTGCAAAGTAAGGCTGATGAGCTCTGCACTAATACAATTGTATGTCTAGCTGCGTTTTTCATTCATAAATGTTGAATTGCTAAATCATCTTCCAAACTTGTTTTTTTAAATGACTTTAAGTTTTATATAAAATCATTAAAGATTCTGAAAAATCCTAAAGCATTAAAAAAATATATCCTAAAACACGTCCCAGCAGAAGTAAACAGCTAAACAAAGACTGAATTCTGTCCTCATGTTACACTTTCTTATAATTTTATTTAATATAATTGTTTTGATTTTATAATTATTCTTATATTTCTGTTTGTTTATTTATTTGGTTTATGTATTTGAATGTTTAAGTTAATAACCCTCTATAGCAAGTCTAAGTGTTGGGTATATTTATTGCTATATTTTCTATGTATCCTGGCTTGAGGAAACTCCCTCTACGCAGCCATGTTTGTCTGCTAATCTTTTTTTTTTTTATTGAAAGAATTATACAAACCACAAGGCAGCAAATCAGAAGTTTGTCTGCTAATCTTGATATTTTCAGTAAAATAATAAAAACGGGTTACGTCACTAGCCCGGATGTGAAACGTCACTACGTCCCAGTCGGTGTTTTGAGCGCGGGAGCTTTGAGGAAACCAACCGACATCAGGCAGAAAGTCTGCAGCTAAAAGCTGTGAAGGTTTGAGGTGGATGAACCAGAGAGGTGGATGAACTAGCTCCACTTTAAGGACCAAAGCCAGCCTTAGAAGGTAAAGCTCATGCTAATGCTGCTAAAGCGGGGAAATAGTTCCTCTGAGGCGGATTTACTCTGTTTTCTGGGAGCCTGGTGGCTCTGTCAGCTGTCCACTGACCGCACTGGGACACATTATGTTGTGCAACACCAGTTAAGCCAGTAGTTTTAGCCCGTTAGCCTGACGTTAAACTGGCTGCTATGCTACAAAGCTAACCATTATCTGTTGGTCAGGTTACTGTCCTACAACCATGGCGATGAGGAGTGAAGCCAGAGTGGAGGCGGAGGTGGTAGAGGAGGAGGAGAACTTCGGCCCACAGCCTCTCTCCAGACTGGAGGTATGGAACCTGAACGCCTCTCCGAGCTGCACACAGTTTCATTAGCAGGGGAACCTGAACGCCTCTCTGAGCTGCACACAGTTTCATTAGCAGGGGAACCTGAACGCCTCTCTGAAATGCACACAGTTTCATTAGCAGGGGAACCTGAACGCCTCTCTGAAATGCACACAGTTTCATTAGCAGG